AAACTGGAAAAGGCGATCAAATAAACCTCGTTTTCAATTACGAATGGTCGCTTAGTCCGTTTTGATCAGTACTAAGTTCGCAACTTTTATGTTTTTATTCCTAGAAAACGTGTCTATTCCGATGTTACACATTCACTAACATGTTAAGAAGACATTTTGTGATTTTTGTGCGTTCTTGTTGTCCCAATAAAGCGTTGTTTTAGAAAGCAACCCGAGGAAGTATTCGTGGTACGTTCACGTGACTTAAAAATGTTGGAATCTGGAGTATCTCAGTTGTGCAGCAGAATTAGTGGAGTGGGTTTCATACATTTCCAAAAACGCGCCACAAAAATTTATGTAATGGCTCTGTGACCTTCTGTCATCAGCTGGCAGCAGTTCATCTAAAGTGGATGTGCCAGAAATGTTTGCTGCATTTCTGGCTGTTTCTACACTTTAACCTGCATTTGATACAGACATGGAGTTCTGGAAGTGTTCCTGAGCCTGTGCAGTGATTCCATAAAAGAATCATGCCTGTTTTTAATGCAGTGCTTCAGTATTGAGTTTTGGCCTTGGTGTTTGTGCACAGAGATTTCTCCAGATTCTCTCTTGTGTCTTGTTGATTGAAAGTTTGAATTTACACTAAGGAACATTATTCTGAAAATTTTCCCAATTTTTAGACACCTTGTTTTGGGGATTGGTGAACCTTTCCCCGTCTTTACTTTTCTCTAAGAAGCTCTTTTTGACCCGATTATGTTACTGACTTGTTGCCATTTAACCTAATTAGCTGCAAAATGTTCTTCCAGCTGTTAACCTATTTTTTCCAGCCTTTTGTTGCCCCATCCCAATTTTTTTTCCTAAATTGGTACAGTCTTGTCAGTTACAACGTCTGATATACTTTCTATGTTGTATTGTGAATACATTTTTTTGAGGTTTGCAAATTATAACATAATTTTATTTACATTTTAGTATAAATTAAAACAGAGTGTCACAGCTTGTTCATATTTGAGTTGAAATATTATCCTAAATAACATTATTTAGGATAATATGCTCATTTTTGTAGAGCAACAAAAGGTGGCTTAACATGAAGTAGCTTTGGGCTCGCAGTGACTTTAACCTTGACCAACCATCTGACGTGTCTCATGTCACCCACAGGCGTTTCGATCGTCGGCCTGATGTGGACTCTTACTGTCAAGCTCTCTATCCGTTCTGCCCCACCGGAGACCCAGATGGACGGATTCCCTACATGAGAGACAGCGACACCATCTCAGTGTATCGGCTGCAGACTCCAGTGTGGGAATTCAAGTATGGAAGTTTGCTGGGAAAGTTTGTAAGTGTGTAATTTGAATTCTGAAATGTCTTTTTACAAGTCAGGGATAAAGCAAAAAGCACCAGGGCACATTTTTCTTTTCGTTTTTAATATTTTATTCTCTAAAACAGAAGTGAAGGGGCCGCTGTGTTCTGGCTAATAAAAATAGTCCCTCTGTTAAAGCAGAAGTGCAGCTGCAGCTACACTATTCATAGAAACACACACACATAAAACCAGAGTATGTTTCTGTTCTCTTTACAGCACATCATGCATGATGCTGTTGGGTTCAGTAGTGCAGAGACAGGAGCCAACTACACCATGGAGTGGTACGAGCTGTTTCAGCTGGGCAACTGCACTTTTCCTCACCTCAGACAAGAAGTGTACGCACCTTTCTGGTGCAACCAGGGAGCTGCCTGCTTCTTTGAAGGCATCGATGATTTACACTGGTCACAGAATGGCACCTTAGAGAAAATTGGAGTAATCACAGGTAAGACTTGACATCTGTGCACAGAGAAGCCGACATAAAACTAGATATGTTACATCATCAGTGGATATATGACTGGTGATAATGTGGATTTTACTACAAATATATCCTGCAGAGCATGACCCTGAAACAGCTTATTTTGCTTTTGTAGTTGTAAAACTACAAATTTTGTACTTTGTATTGAGTCAGATACACATCCAGGGTACTTGGTAATCATGAAAACTGTAGAAAGACAGCATGTTGAAACAGAAATTCTGCATTGACTGTTTCACTGGCTTCAGGAGGCCCTGGATAGCTTCCAAAACCCAAAACAGGCAGTTCTGGTTTTGTGACTGATAGCTTGTCTTGTCCAGGGAGAGCTAGAGCACATCCAATAATTAAATGCCTCGAACCTATAAAATGTTTTTTACACTCTTGTCTTCTTGGACTTTCTGCTTCACACCCATTTTTTTTCTGGTATTAACATGTTTTTCTTTAATTATCCAGGGCAGCAGTTCAACGACATGGCCCGCTGGGTGCAGGACGACAACGAGACTGGGATCTACTACGAGACGTGGGCAGTTCGGTCTGACCCCAGCCCCAACGCCACAGTGTGGTTCGAATCCTATGACTGTTCCCAGTTTGTCCACCGCACATACAGGAAGCTTACAGAGCTGGGAGCCAAACTATCCAGCCGATCACAGACCAACTACACCAAGATCTACCTGTACAGCGGAGAGCCCACGTACCTCGGCAATGACAGCGCCATTTTCGGACAGCCTGCTCTGAAAAATCTGGCATCGGACATCCGTAAATTTTACCACACATTTAGGCCACACCAGACATTTGCAGATGCCATGATCAGTCTGCTGGAGGCTTTTGAGACGGTCGTGTTGGAAAGGAGCTTCTATTTCTACTACAACTTTGAGTACTGGCATCTGCCAATGAAACCTCCATATGTGCGGATTACATATGAAGAAGTGCCTTTGCCTTAAAATCCCATTTGACTACTAATTTTTTATTTTATTGATAAATATTATTAGCTGAAAGGCTAATGACAACAATATTAACACAAACTTCAATGAATGGTTACATTTTTTTCTTCTATTTGGAAATGGCAGTCAAGAAAAAACATTTCAACTAAGTTGTCACATGACTATGAAGTCCTTCAAAAGCTAAATACACCCCACGATTCAGTGGCTTGCAGAAGTCACTAGCCATTGTTTTCTATATGACTTACATATACGTTACATTACTGCATCATTACATTATTCATCAGTGCACAACCTTCCTAAGGTCCTGCATAGCCTTTTAATCAGCTTGATGTCTGAACTGTCATAATAACAACAACAACAAAAATTCAGCTATTTCGTTGTAGACTTGCTGCTGTGCTTGAGATCTCTGTCCACTTGGAGTATGCAATTTCAACCAAGCTTTAGCTTGTATTCTAGAGTCAGATGGCCTCACATTTGTCACTAGAATATTTTGGTATACAGAGTTCATGGTTGGCTCAGTGACTGCAAGGTCCTCAGGTACTGTGGCTGCAAAACAAGCCCAAATCATCACCCCTCCACCACCGTGCTCGACAGCTGGTATGAAAGATTTATGCTGATAACACGGTGCTGTGCATTATGGCCGCTTTGGTCTTATCTGTCCAAAGGACATTGTTGCAGAACTCCTGTGGTTTGTTCTGATGCAACTTTGCAAAGCTAAGTCATGCTGCCATATTCTTTTTAGAAAGAAGAGCTGCTCACACTTGCTGATGTTAATCAGTTAATCAAGTGCATTTGATTAGCATCACCTAGCTGCTACTTAATTCCTATGGAAGCATTCAGGGTGTACTTAGTTTTTTGGAGGACCTGAGTCCTGTGAAAAGTTTCCACACAACTGTAGCTGTTCGAAAGGTTTCAATCATAAAGGATAAAACCTCACTTTCTTCAAGAGAAAATAGATTTTAATTCAGTATTTCTCACCAAGGAGCATTATGCACAGATCTGCTGAGTGAATTTCCTGCTTCATAACATTCTGTGTCTGTAATACCAGTTTAAAAGGTAAAAAAAAACCAAAAGAAACCAGCACTTCTGGACTTTCCAGTGTTTAAATGTTCGGAAACATTTAGCAGGACTTTTCCTGGCTGAGAAGTGGCGTTTGTGGGTTGACTACATGTTTAAGTGCGATCAGTCCACACACAGTAAAAGCAGGGATTCTGGGTTAGCTTATTTGACAGAAATCTGCATTTTCCTGTTATTTTTGGACATATGATGACCAAAAAGAGTATTCTTGATAAATAAAAGATACATGTACAACCCCACCCTTTTTTCACCTTTACTTCATTTCTTCTTGTTATTTAAGGAATAATAATTTAAGAAAACTGTTCATACATCTTCTCATCTCAAATGCAACCCATTTTTATAACGGAGTCCTTTTATGGAGTTTAACTACGTGTGCCTTCGGTTAATAAAGAAAAATTACATGAAAGTTGCACAGAGTACATTCACAAATTTTTATTACAGTGTGAGATCACATGTCCAAAACAATTTTAATTTCAAGACAGGTAAAGCAAAGCAGACAAAGCTTTTGTCATACAGAAGCAAAACTAGAAGAGAGTGTTTAACACCTGTTAACTCCCAAATAAAGTTCAAATTATAATTATGACAATCATTTGTGACAAAATTTAAATAATGCTCTCTCTCGGTCAGCATTTACCATGTGAAGCATTTTTTTCCCCAGCCGAATATTCCAATAAAAGCAAATACAGACAAGCTCTCAGTGAAAACAGGCTTCACGTTAGGGCCACTGTTTAATGCACTGCACACATTTTCAAATAAAATAACCAGGAGATATGTTACTGTACCCTTCAGATGCTAATGTACATGAGCACAGATATCCACTTCTTCAGTGATGAGAAACAAATACTGTGAAGAGGCTATATTCATTCAATAATACCAAGAAGCACCTCTTGCAACAAGTCTCTCAGTTATTGTATATGAAATAAAACTTGAGTAAAAAGGAATGAAATCTGGCCGAAAAAAAAACTACATTTTTATTGACATGCAGTGCTGCCTTAAGGTTTGTCCACTACCAAAAACCTTTAAATATTTAATATGTATACGCCATAAATGCATATACTCTCTCTCTCATAAAATCCCTCCAAGGATCGAGAGTTTGTGGTAGTGGACTCAAAACATTAGGACCACCTGTATCCAACAAAACCACGGCGACAATA